TATTTACTGTAAAAGTTACTCCACATTACATCATATATACTTTGATTTTGATTTTCTGTGTGTGGTTATAATTTACAGATATTAAAAATAATTAAGAGGTGAAATTAGCAATTCTAATGACAAAAATGCTGACGATATGTTGAGGATAAAAGTGATTGATAATGATATTAATGATGGTAACAATGACATTGATGATATGCTAATAACAATGAAGATAATGACGATGAAGATGATGTTGATAATGTTGATGACAATGATGATTTATATAATGATGACCACGACGATTATCATGATAATGATATTTTGGCTACCAACAACAACAAAATGAATCGTACAACGCAAGGGGAAGAATACGAGTACTACTTGAATAAACAGAAATGCAGGCGTCTTCTGTACGTCATAAATTTGCAAATTCCATTATATAATTCTCTTACTTTAACTCTTAAGATTCTGTGACATTTAACAAAAGTAGATCACTAAATTAATGTTCTGCATATGATGGATAGAGAATGCCAAAATTATCATTTACAACAACATGCAGAATTTCTATTTCATTGTAAGTCGTCATTTGATTCATATATGATAGATCTACATGAAAAATATGGCTGGCATTATTAAGGGAATGATGAATACTACGTATTGCTATCGCCATATGGTGCTGTGCATTACATGAATAAATTGATTATGTATAAACTCTTTTAAATGTTTATGAACAAGTAAGCGAAGAATATTTTTATGAGGTGAAGACTGGGCATTGACAAGTTGAATGAAACTTTTTTTCACTGAATTAAAGTTTTATCCTAGTGTAATACTCACCAATAGTAGCCGAAAAGTAATTGATTTAGCAATTGTTACCCGTTGCAATTGGGTGCTACAATGTTTATTACTCATAATTATCATGGAATCCGATCGCAACAAATTCCACAGGCACTGATTGGCTGAGCTCAGTCAACATAGGTCTAGCCACTGGAAGCCTATAGTACCGTTTGACCTGCCGTTCCATATATAAAGTTTTTTGTGCCTGATTTGGGCTGAATGCTCTTGTTGGTTGCAATCGGAAGTAATCAGTTTTGGATTACTACCGACTACATCACAACTGATCGAAACTGTAGTCCATTCGTTCGTGAAATATGTAAAATATCTACTATCAAGTACTTTAACAGTAACTCTAAAAATAGTGACCTTGTGTAACTATCAGATGTTTAACAGTATATTACAGGGCACCCTCAATTTGAAACCCCTCTAATTCCGAGATTACTCTAATTCAAAACAACTTTTTCAAAGAACCAAATATTGAACAATCTTAAATTTTTTAACACAAAGCTAACCTTCTCATTTTAGATTGAACCCAGAGACCACCCCAAATATTCAGGTTTAAAGTTGGTCTCATATTGGATGGAGAACTATAACTACATTGTGCTCACAGGGTCAAAATATGCTACTGTTGACCTACATTAGCTTTTTCTTCTTTTTTGGTGGCGCTGTTTATCTAAAATAAAATTTCACAATAAAAATCAGCAAATGGATAAAAAAAATGAGCAAAAGTGATGTCATAGTAGAATAAATAATTTAATCTCATATACTATAACCTAAAATCAACTAATGATAATATAAGAAAAATCTATATAGGCATTGTATGTTCTGTACATGTGACTAATGCAGTAACTTATTATACTATAAAGATATATTATTGATACGTTCATCTGATTTGTAGGCGTTGTTTGGTTAGTCATATAGTCTTGTTTCTGCAGCAATTGAAAAATAATCCAATTAAAATCATGGGATATGTTATACATAGCCATTTGCGCATTAAAATGTCTACTAAACACCTTATACGTTTGATAGATTTTAAAATTTATATTTACAATTCAAATCTAAAGAATTATATCATCTTTTTAAATATATATTTGCTGATTCCAATTCTGATTTTAGTTAATATTTTGGTCTAAAATTTAAAGCACAATTTACACCTACCAACCATAGAATTTTGTTTCTTTGACACCTACCATTGGTTCTAAAAGGAGATTGTGAGATATCAATGAGTGATTGATGAATTCAGAAAGATGTTAAATTAACGAAGAGAGTCATCATCTAAATTACAGTTCCCTCTCCAATTAAGACCACCTTCGGGACTTCCAAACGTGGGGTCTCAGGGTTTGGTCTATAATTAAAGGGTTATCTTTGTGTTATAAGATTGAAGACTGTCAGTTGGACGGCACTTTGCGAAAATGGCGTTGAATAGGATTGATCTTAGAATTAGAGTAGTCTCTGGTTTTTCACTAACAGGCAAGTGACATCCACAGCAATAGCCTTCATCCATCCATCCGTAATCTGTCCGTTCATCCATTGTTTCGTCTGTCTCAGTCCATCCATCTATCACAGACTCGCTTCAATCCTTGTCCAAAGAACTTCTGAGCAGAGTACATTAGAGCAATGAACCTATCTGTCAGTACAGGCTGTAAACTACAGCTGTTTAAATTCTGCTTCATACCGTAAATAAATGCAATGTAAACAGATTTCTATTCTTGGCTGTAAATGTAGCATCCTATACCTTCGTACAGTATCCATAATTAAAAGCTAAACATGGCAGATTACAATAGTCTGCTGGCTGAAATCCGTAACAAGTCGCAGGAGCGATGGGAGCTGATTGGGCTACAAAGGCTCCTAGATTCTAAAGCCCTTGTTTGTTTATTCACAGACTTTCAGCAGCTGTCCTTCGACCTAACGTCCTATTTTTTTGTAACAGAGTTTTGTCTGTCAGACATAACAATGTTTGATAAAATTTGTTGTATGCCTATATATAGTCATAATGTGCCTATATATGGTCATAATGTGATGTCATATGACCATATTTAAGCATGTCAGATATTTTTGTTAAATAAACTTTGATAGTTTTGACAGGTCTGTAAAGTCAATTAAACTTTTCAATTTAAAATACGAAATTGCTGCTGTTAAGGGATCTGGGTTGGCAATCAATTGCAATCACACAAAATAAGTTTAGAATTTGTTATTTTAATAGAATAAATAATTTGTCCAAAGACAATTAGCAAATCGTGTTTTAGAGAAAATGATCAAAACATGCTGGAATGTCAACATTTTTGAAATCTATTTTATTGCACTAAACTAAGCTTTATATATTTATACATCATGCTATGCTGTTATTGTGCTATTTTCAATGTTAAAACAAGAAATTTTAACCATTGGGAAATGTTTCTGGGTTAGAAATGCATGAAATCATAAACCTTCGAAGGTTAATTTCTGAAATATTGTTCTTTAAACACCTGAATGTTTAAATGCTCGTAACTTCATAAAGAAATGTCTTGTTTGAATTATTCTTTTACCATTTTATAGCTCCTATTTTACTTTTTAACCCTGCATTAATAACTGAAAATCAAATTTTGCGACAAGTAAGTGGTTTGGCTTGTCTTTGCCACAATTTAGAACAAGAAAGATAGCCAAAGAAATTGGGAATGCTTTGTTGAAATTTGGGCAAGTACAAAATGTAATGGGCTGATTTTCTATTGAATTCTTTTTCCAAAAGGTAGCCTATTCAACAAATTGATTGTATTAAATATAAAATACAACCAGGTTTTGAGAATTACCTATTTGATAAAGTAAATTTTAATGGTGTAAATTTAAAGTTTAAGACTAGAACCATTACATTGGATTTGGAAGGAAGGAAGGAAAAGACCTTGCTCTGAAAAAAAAACACAGGTTTGTGCAAAATGTGTGAATGTAATTCGATCAAACCATTTTATTTTTGATTGTCTATCTTTAAAACATGTACGTGATAAATGTCTTAAACAACTCCTTAAAAATTATCTTGAAACATGGGGATTATCATCCTATTTGAATGTACTGTATTTTATGATGGTCTAATGAGTATAAACGCCACTTATTACTTGATGATTTATCTAATGCTTATCCTAATGATAAAGTTAATAACCATTTTGATTTTCATTGTAAACAATTAATCGTTCATTAAAAGAAAGAAATTATTAAAACTAAATACCACCTCAACAAGTCTTGGAAAAATAAGTAGATCTTATTAGGTATTGTTAAATATGTTTTCAAATTTTATTTGAGTTACCACTTATATATATATATATATATACGATGCCTTCTTATACAACGATTGGGGACTATAAGTGGATATGTTGCACTCTTGAGGAATTCCACCAATCCCAATTGTATGTTCATAAATTTGCATTTTAACATGCATTGTGATAATATATTTGTTTACTTGTGGTCTTCAATCTGTTTGCTCAAAATTTGATTTTAAACTATTTTTACTGTACTGAATTAATTATTAATTTTTTTTTTAGATAAGTTTATAATTAGCTGAATACTGTTTAACATTCTTTCGTATTTACAATCAAGTTAGTCTTTGTTTTTCTATTACGTTTAGCATCAAGATATTTTGTACATGTAAAAGCTATTCTATATGTGCCAGTGTTGCAAAAAGTCCATTAAATTGATGGATTGAAATTGACTTTATTTTCAACATTAAGGCTAGAAAGCTGGCAATGGGAGAAAAAATGTTTGGCACCCTTTTTTAGGTATTTACCTGATAATCTAGTTTCAAAAGTGGTTTTCTTACAAAAGTTTAATATTAATATTACTTGATGTTTTATTAATTTGAAAAATGATTGATTCATTTAAACTATAGCACTTACAATGTATTATATTGGATGATCTAAACCAACAAACTAATATGGATATGATTGGCTATTCTGTAATCATCCCCTACAAAGTTGGTAACTGGCTGGCCTATCATCAACACTTACAAAGTATATGATTGGCAGATCTACTGTACAATCAGCACTTAGAAGGTACCGGTATGTGATTGGTTGACTTTCAATAGATCCATGCAACTTATTTTCTATTTATTGTAATCTTGTTCGTATTAACTGTTTCGAGAGTTAAAGAGTTTTTTGGTCTGTGGTCATTCTAAACCATTTGCAATTGTTAAGTTAAGAGACAAAAACAATAAAACTAACCTGATTGTGGTATTCGATTCCCATGCTCAACGTATTAATTAAGATGCATATCAAAATCCCCCGCATAAAAAAGTTGCTCTCAATGATTCCCTCAAGCTTGCGTTGAAACGACCGACAACAATTCTTGCATTGCCAACAACGACGTTTCTTTCCCACAATGCAAGTATCAATTGATTGATTCAGCGCAGACTCGCTGTTGTCTGAATCCGAGTCCGTCCACTCATACTCCGAAGTATGATGCTCGTCACAAGTGTGCGGGCAGGACTGGTTTAACCGGTATGACGTCCGGCAGTGTGTAGGGCAGGGCTTGTGGCGTGGGCAAGGATGATGAATTGGACAAGTACTATGGGTTGAGAGACAGGCATGTTTTCGTATAGCGGGAAGCGGTGAGGGAGGATAGTCACGAACCAGTGAACATGGCGCAGACAATCTCTCAGCAAGCGGTTGGTGTTTAGGAGGTCCAAGAGATTTCAAAGCTGGAAAATGAGATACAAACATTAATATTTCCAAACTCTAAAAATTATATTAAGTAATTAAAATATGGAATCTGCACATTAGAAATGTATAAGTTATTATTATTAATAATGGTTAAAGTAATTACTTTATACATTTTATGCATTATTGATTTTGTTTAACAAAAGACTTCAAAAGGTTAAGGTAAACTACAATGTAACAGTCAAAATAGAAAATGTTTTCATTTTAATAATGTGTTTGGTAACATACTATGGAACCATGGCAACCAATGACCATGACATTTGTAATACAAGAGAATTCTTTGTTAAAAGACATAAAAATCAATAATTTATTCTCTATGCATAATTATTTTACACATACAATTCCATACCTCTACTCAATAAAATGATGTTTTTATGAAAATCAATATAATAGGTTGATATCCTTGATTCTCTATAAACTAAAAATGAAATGGATTGAAGCTGAGAACCAGATAAGAGATGCTTGCCTTCAAAGGAATTAACAATTTGCAGTGATGTGATAGTGGTTCTTATTTACATTTATTTGTTGAATGCTTTGAGAGTTGGCTAAACTGATTTTTATATTCCATAGTACATAACAACCTAGCTGTAGCTTTGTGGTACAGTTGTACTCCAGTATAAAATGTATGAATTTGTTTTTTCTAAAAAAGCCTCGAGTCTAGTCTTAGCAGACCTACAAATTATGGTGTTATACAATGCAAATGCAATGAGTGTTAGTTATGTAAAATTAATAATTAGCATAAATCACACAAATACCAAAAACAATACGCTCCATTCTCTCACATCTTACATTCTGCAAAGTTTGACACCAAAAGTCAGTGACAATAAAAACAGTGACAAGGACAGTGACAACAACAAGAACAAGAACGTGAAAAACACAGGTAAAAAAAGTAGCCTCCTTGGAGCTGCACTCTTGGGAAGGCTTTACATAAGCATGAAGCATTGTGATAATCCTACCTGAACTATCTGCATTTGTAGATATGGCGGGTACACATGAAAGGGGTTTTAGGGCATCGGTTTCCTTGAACCTCTGCCAGTCCTCAGGGAGTTTATTTGTAGATTCACTTTTGGCGCCCTCATTTGCCTTAAGGTTAGCCAGGACCGAGGCCTGGCTCTTGTCCTTGGAGTTCGTATTTGGATAATTGATGGAGGAGGCACGATGGATAGAAAGCGTAGTGATAACGTGAGTATGGGGCGATACAGGTTCTGGTATTTTTTTCCTTTTCTCTGCATCAACACGTGCAATTCTCTCCGTACAGTAAGTTATGGAATGCAGTGAATCTGAGCTGGGCATTAGATTATTCGCAGGCGGAACCAGAAAACGATTTTGCCGAGTGGGTGATGAGCCAATGTCACTGCTCTCCGGACTTGCATGCGGAGGCACTGGACTCGTATTCCCAAAATGATAATGATGGTGGTGGTGATAATGATGATGATGTAAATGAACTGATTTCTTCCTCTTTTTTCTACGAAGTGATAATGCCGGCGTGATCTTGCTTTTACTGTCCATACCTTTACGCCACTGTCTTAATTTGCGTCTACCATGACGTATCAGATGCGCAATGTATTTCAGTATTTCCCCATAACAGCTACCCTGTTCGTAAGTTGACAATGTACTAGTGGATTTAAATCGCTGCCGATTTTTTTCCATTAAACGGTTTTCTCTTTTCTTAGTCTCAGAAAACTGAGTGGCTATGACAACAAGGCAGAGATTGATCAGGAAGAAGGCACCAATCTAGTAGGAAAAAAATTAGCAAAAACACTATTAACAAATAAAATATTGATTATCTTATAAAAATTATATTTGTAATCAAGACGTTTAGGGAAAACACAAATAGCTTCAGAATATTGTATATTTTCTATGAACTGGTGTGGTGTATCATAATTTGTTTATGAACAAATGTATGGAATTTTTATTATGAATTTCAGTGACGATGAATTTAATTCTTAGTACCAAAATGATGTATGTCTACCATTGATTTTAATATCCAATGTGATTTTAACTGATGAAATAAATAGAAGAATATGTATTTTTTATATACATATTTTGATATTGAAGTTTCTTATGTATTTGGGCAAAATATGTTACCTACATTTGCCTCCCTCTCTCACTGAGTGGTGTATCTAGGAGTTTTGAAATAGGGGGGAGGGGGAGGGGACTGATGAGTGCTCGATAATAAAGCAAGGGGGAACTAAGCTCACAACATAAGGTGATATGTAGTCATTTTTAAGTAGAGCGTGATTTTTTTGCTTTAAACATTTTCAATGGAAGAGCGACTGGGGACGCACATTTTTTGAGAGACTTGCGCTCTCGTACATCACCTAGAGTGGTAAGATGTGGGATAGGTCATGAGCAATTCCTGACAAACTTTAGCAACAATTGAGATCTGATAGACCTCAAAATGTCCAATTAAATCTTTACAATTTTTTACTTGGTTAAATTTAAAGAAATATTTTGTAATCATTTTCGACAAAAATTATCTTTTTTATCATATTATATATTCAAAATGTTTCTTATTTTATAGGTCTATTTATATTTTATGTACCATTTTTAATATGCAGCCACTTTATGATTTAATACACTTTTTGCATTTATTCCTGTCCAGCCTTGAAATTTCCCTTCCTCTAATATGTCAGAGTTTTTATGTACATGCTTTAAAGTATCCCAAGGACTATATAAATTAAATGAAAATGATTACTCCTCTTAAAAAGTACATTATATAAAAGCATAACTCTCGTTCATCATCTGTTTTATCACATACTTATAAATAGCTATAAATTTCAGTAACAAAATGACATCACTACGATCCTCAACAGTGCTTCCAGCATTTATATTGTCAAACAAACTGCCTCTTGATTTAAGTAACAGTTTTGAAATCTTGATGCAAGTAAAAATGATACAAATTCTGTTGTTAGTTGCAAGCCCATGATTATGATTAATGATTATGAATGAATGACTGGTTTTATGTCTGTTAAATTTAAAATGTTTATAGTTTTAAAAATCTAACAGCCAATCAATCACTGCTAGTTTTAAATAGTGGTGAATGATTGACTGGTTAGATGTTTGTCAGATTTCTAACACTTTTGAAAATCTAACATCCAATCACTCACTGCCATTTTATAGTAGCAGTGAATGGTTGGCTGATAGATTGTCAAATTGTATAGTTTTGATACTCCATGATAACTGAGTTTCTTTATTGTTGTAGAATATACAGGTTTATAAACTGAGATTACAAATCACAAAAGAAGGACCACCTCACCAGTTGATTGTATGCTTCATGTAGTCCATCACTGCCAATTAATGATTAAACAGCGGAGGATGTTTATATTTAGCAGCAATGAATGCATGGGTAGAATTTATTACATCAACTGGTGCAAGTCACTTCTGATCAGTCACTATTAATTTATTAATATTTATGTGTTATTAATAAACCTCGAAGCTGGTTTATATGGTGAATTTGTCATGGGTCAGTGATTCTCAACCTTTGAACTTTAGGATAGGATGGGAGTAATAGGGAACTTTCGATTACACGTTGATAGTAGGACATGGAGCGTAATGACATCACTATTAGAAGTCAACTGCACGTGCAAGAACATTAAGTTCTCGTTGTTGCCTAGATTCTAGGATGCAATTTGGCCGTGCAGAGGACAGTAGGACGGTCACGCATAAGTGATCCGTTCTAGTATCACGTCATCATGCAAATCGAAAACTCCCCATTCATTGGGTTAAACCTCTACCGTAAGTCTGAAGACTTGTTTCCAGTGGGTCCTTCTGATTTCAGCCATTTTGAAGGAAATTTCAAAACAATCTAAAAGTACTATTTGTTTGATTAAGATAAACCAACTATTATTGATAGCACAAAGCAAAATGAAGTAATTTCTATTTTTTCTAATGGCATATAGTGTCGATTATTTATTGATTTCTCTGGCAGTGGATATGGAGAAGGTTGGTATCTTGGAGAGGAAATAGTATTCAGGGAAATGATTGATTGATAATATAGACTGATTAATTTAATTGATTGATTGATTGATAGATCAATAAGAAGCTAATACTTCGGTATCACAGGTTAGGTTAGTAAATTAACTACATAATAACCAGTGTTCTTGGTTCAAATACTCATTGGGGTCAACCTATATTTTTGTGTTTAAGGCTTTTATGTTTTTTGTATACTTTAAATGTTGTCATATGTGCAGGTTTTTTGCAATGTACATCTGCGTACTACTGGTTCTATCATTTTTTTTATTATTTATATATAGATTTCTATATGATATTTGGGTATTGCCCTTTAACTTTAATCATTAATTTTTTGTGTTTGCATTGTTTCTAGTGTTTATTTTCTTTTTTATTGTTAATGGTTTTTAATTCTTTTGAAACTTTTTAATTAGTGGCTGTCAGTTTTGTGCTGCTTTTTATTATCTTCTTGATATATTTTATTGTTAATGGTAAAACTTCTTGTTACTTTGGTGTGATTTTTAATGGTATCTTGATGTTCTCTGGTTTATTTTTTTTGTGAAATTTGTGATGTCTCTATTTAATATGCGTATGTAAATCTTCTCATAATTAAATATTTTTTGCAAAAAGTTTGACAATAAAAGAATGCAAAAAATGAAATTGTAAGAGGCAAATACAGGGAAATAAACATTCCTCTTACCACCAGATTGTCAATAACAAGTTAATTAGTTGAGAATCACTGATACTGATAACATTATTTAGTAAACCAACCAATATGACTCTAAACTCTATATTTTGCAGCTACAGAATGATTATGATCTGCAGTTTTTTGTATACAATTAATTAGCATTTATATAGTGCCAATGTAAAATCTATTCTAAAAATATTTTAATTCAAGTGATAATATTTATGATGAATGAAATCGCACTAATGAATGTGGATGAATGAAAATGAAACATAATTAAATTAACATTACATAACTTACCTTTTATCAAAAACATCATATTAATGAAACATATTAAAAAAATAACAATAATTATGCAATCCATTTGTAGGAAAAAAAAATAAATAAAAGCAAGCAAACGCATCTCATTAGATTTTTATTTGTTACATGTGATGATGTTCTACCATAAAATGAGTTTTGCCAAAACACCGAGTAAAATTTTTATCTGCTTTCATAATCTTGATATATAATTATTTTGCAATTTAAATGATATGCTATGTATCCAGACATGACCTTCTGAACATCAGCATTCGCAAAATAATTTCTTTAAACAGAAAAACTGATTCAAACATGCCATAGATTACACGCTGTACTACAGGCTTTTAAAAATCTTTAATATCGTAATTAAGATGTATTTTTCATTTTTCGTAAAACCAATGGAGGTAAGAAATTATATTTTGACTTTATCAAACATTACATATATGATTAAAATTTGAAGCACTGGAAAATTATTTTTTTTTAAATTCAACTCATTTTGTGGTAGAAAGTCACATATTAATAACATTAACCATTTTTTTAGGCAAAAAATAATCAGCATACTTGTGCATATAAGGTGTGTATTTTAGCACAGTTTTTATCATTTTTTGATTTTCACTTCACTTGCATAATAATTGAAATATAACTTTCTTCATAATTGTGACAAAATTAATTTCATTTTGCTCAAGAATGCAGGAGTTGCTTGGCAACAATGAGATTTCATATCTCTAAAAACTAGATACAATTTCTTTTGAGTATTTTTGATATTTTTTATTTTCTTTCCCATATTTGCCCGTTTAAATTTTTCCTCTTTTTATTCATTGCTATTTCGTGCAATGTATTTACAATATCATAGATCACAACTTCAAACAGTGAAAATTATGATTTGATTTTTTTTTTTAAACTTACGAGATTAATTGAAAACCTATTTTTAATGGTGTATACACCACAACGATTGCATTCTTGAACATTTGCCCCCTATTTTTTTTTTTTTTTATTGTAATGCAATACTTACTACTATTAGAATAACAAAGTATGCCCAGTCCCAAAAGCTATGGACATCCTGAACATAATACATAAGCTCACTCCATCCCTCTAGTGTTATAACCTGTCAGATAGAAACAGCGGTGAAGTGAGCCCTCTATATCAATGGAGGACATTACAGTGGAGTGAAAAAATGAAGTGCAGTGTGCTTTTCCATAGCTAGGATAGTGAGATGATATTAAAAGATTAATCAGTTTTCTACACAGATTTTTAGGCCATTTTTTTGAACACTTTTTTTAATGCCAATGAAACGAAAGTTTTTGTTTAATGTTAGACTAGTCTTTGTTAATTTTAATTAAATGCAAAAAAAAATGACTTTTATTGTTAAATGATGATGAATGTTAGTTTGAAAATCAAGATGATTTTGTTAAAAATCAGCGTACAAAATCTGTGTAGAAATACTCAATGAAAATGCAACTGAAAAAGAACCTAACAGCGAATGTTAGCCAAAGATGGAATGGGATGACAGACGCAAATGCATGATACGAAAACCTGGGTGGTTTGCATTGTTGTATTTACTTACTACTATCAGAAAAACGAAATAGATCCACACCCATTTGGAGTGACTGTCTTGCAGAAGGTACTGAATGTCCACCCAGCCTTCTAGGCTGATAATCTAGAGAATTGCAAGCAGGAAGGAAAACTGAAGGGTTGGCTACAGAAGTATGTTATCGAACTTAACCTCAGGGTGCAAACTGTACAGCAGGCCTAGCAAAAAAGTAGGCCTACCACCGAAGTTCAAACATAAGGAGCAAACAGGACAGAACTAAAAATATGGCAAACAAAAATTAAAGCTTAATTTCATGAAGAGATGACAAAATTAAAACAAATGATTTTTATATCAGACACAAGTAATTTTTTCTGAAAGTTTTAGGTAACACTGATAAGTTTGAGACACGGTAAAATGAGACATACCACAAATAATAACAGAAGAGCAGTACGGCGCATATAAACTTTTTGAAAGCTTCATTGCGCCGCTTATTTAAGACCATTCAATATTAAATATATGCTGGCATCAGACTTCTCAAGAATTAGCGCTTGTCGTCTGATCACTCTTTTGCGCTATGCAAGCACTTGCCGACCGGAATGTTCTCAATCCAGTGTGCCTAATTCCTTACTTTATAATATTTGTGCAAAATGTTCCATGATAAACTCTATAGCGTACATGACGGAAAGGCACCATCCATGTGCAGCCGTCATGTGATACATTACAAAATTTAAAATGATCAAACAATTGATTAGGTCTACCAATAGGAAAGGAAAAAGGACTCTATATGAGCATGCTCAGTATTAGTATCCCATAATTCCTAGCACAATTACAAGTCATGCTACCAACTAACATTTTTTCTGTTTGATTTCAATAATTTTCTATGTATCTATAAGAAGGGTTACAAAATTGGCTATTTTTCAACTCTGAACTAGTTTCATGCATCTGAAATATAAGTCGCAAGGAGTTAATGTTTAATATTTAATTTCTCATAAGCACCCTCAGGGAGTTTTGCGGTGCGACGGATCTCCAGTTTGACAATAATTTCAATCCAGTTTCTGGTTACACATTAGGTGTTCTGAATGAGGCATCATTTTTGTTACTCGTCTTATCTGGCATATCATAATTTTGCAAAAGAATCTGCAATGCTTTGAGTATCACGCTTACTTTTCAAGTTAACACTCTGTCGGGATCTTATGACTGGAATTTCGCAATCGAGATAAATATACTAAATCTTTTTAGCGGCAATCTGACTGAATCTAAATATTTGCAATCCAAAAGAAAGATTCTGGGGATTTCAATATAGAGATGATTTTTCGCACCATTATGTGCCATGTATAAAAAATTTACATTTAAAAAAAAATTATTATGATTTCTTCTAAAAATCTTTTTGTTTAATATTTAATTACTTTTTATTTATTTTGTGCTTCGTATTTTGAACATGTATTAATTTCTTGATGTTTTTTTTCATCATAAGCAAATAATCAATTAAAAAGACTTAGGAAAAAAAAATGTATACATTAATTTAAGATTATATATAATATTATAGCTATAGAGAAATCAGAATTCTATCTATTACAACTCTCCACTTCCCCAAGCCTTTTTTTCAACCCCTTATAACGTTTTATTGATAGAGGATTAGGTATCACCTTTTGATCATAAATAAGACTTTATTCGGCTGGTTATCATTTTTCCACAGCCAATATTAGGAATAATAAACAATTTACTCATTTAAGCAAGGTGCAAGTATTAACACATTTATTTCAACTAATTAAATTTTTAATCAAATAACTTCTATGTAATAAAAATCTTGAAAACCACTGTTTTTAATCTTAAATTTTGCGTAGTCAGACAAGTTGTAATATAATTCTGCTTAATACAATTAATAAACACAGAATGAGCAATTTTAAGATGGCATTTCCGATAGGCTTCCAGTATCTTACTCGGGTAATATTTCACATATCTCATAGCAGTGGTGAAAGCTAGTGGGAATGAAATATGCCATCACTATCATAAAGTGTGTTGTTTTTTTCTTGTTATTAACTAATTTATCATTAATTATTTATGGTGTGAATGTCATAGAATTAGATAGCAGGGTTCCACAGGGAGAGAATTCTTTTAGCTGATTAGTCTATGCTGGTAGTACTGTATATATTTTTAAAAAACTGAATAAATTAAACTGATTACTGTGGATGGAAATTAAATCTTTAATTATTAATTAATCAATTTAGTCCAATTTAATTAGTATTATTTGATAATCACTAAATATTCAAATTGCTCAATCATTATTAAATATATTTTTATTTACCATTAAAACAATTAATTTAATCTATGTAATTGTCTAATTATTTAATTATTTAACGCCTTAAGATTAAGTTAAAATTAATGGTATAATCAGTTAATTATATAATAGATTTAATATAATCATATATTATATACAGATACATAATATATAATGTATATATAGATGAATAGATGTGTATAAGAGACAGAATAATAACAGAAGAGCAGTACGGCGCAT